AGGTGGACTGTGTGCTCGTTTGTCAACCTTATCCTATAAAAAAAACCTACACTCGAATTGAGATCCTACTCCTTTTTTCGAAGTGGTCTAAACAGAACCCGATGGTAAGTGGTGATGTAGCCGAGAACGATAAAGCACACTGACTTAGCTTATATAAAAGTCTATTCTCCCTTGCCATGAAGAAGGCTGATTATAATCGGATGGAAGGACAGACTTTTTTTATAAAACGAAGGGACCAACGAGCTTACTGTCCACCTGATGGTAAGTGTTTACTGCAATCCATGGACACCTGCAGTCAACTCCATATAAAGTGTCATAAATAAAACAATCTCCAAGTTCTTAGTTAGTTTTATTATTACTACTAAACAATAAACACTTATACTAATACTTTTACTCTTAATAACAACGTTAGCCTTCCTCCAACAACCACATGTCTCTCGCCATTGCTACCAACCACCGCCCAGCTATCCCTTCTCGCTCGTGTTTCTATTTTTAAACCAATCTCAACACGCTTCCGGAGTCAGCTACCAACTTACAAAAATGAAACTACTTGAACTGACCACAGCAGTATATTTACTACAACAATCCATTCACACAATGCTAAATAAGTAAATTTATTACACATTAATTTATAAAAGAATATTTGAAATGATATGATAAATTTAGAAATCACGACAAAAGAGGCAACAGATGCGTTGTCACTGCCTTACATATTGTTATTGTACTGGATCTCTGTATCCTGTAGACCGCAACACAACAATGCAAGCACTGCTGTTCTGCAGCAGAAATAGGTAAGAGAGTGGCGGACCTTGGACACCTACAGCAGAAAATAAGTCCTACCATCTCGTTCCTGGATATGAAGAGGCAGTTAAAATACTGGTTATGGGGCTTTCTTTCCTATTTTAATAGAATATGGGTGACCGACGAGCATACAGTCCATCTGATGGTAGGTGGATGTTTTGTTCTTGTTTTTTTAAACGTTACCTCCACACTAGGATTTTCTCATGTATCGTGAGGGCAGTTCACATACATAAATTTCACAAGGACAAACATCCAGACCCGGAACAATTATTTGTAGGCCATACAAATACTTGTCCCGTGCGGGATTCGGACCCGCGGCCCATAGCGCTGCAACTCATTGCTAAGCGACTGCGCCACGGAGCCATCATGAGCCGACGCTGTGGCCTAGAGACACCTACATTTATTCTTAATTAAAATCCTGAGGATTCTTAATTAGATCCTGATATTTATAGAGGACCACCCTTGAAGTAAACTATTTAATAAAAAAAGAATCATTAATATCCGTTCCCAATCTGCGAAGATATCATATGAAAAATAGTTCCTTCCGTAAAAAATAGTCCAATATGAAACTTTTCCCCCTATTTTCCACCCTTGGGTACGGTAGATTTTCTTCAAAATTTAATGGGAACACCCTTGAGGTAAAGTCTATTTAATAAAAAAATAATCATTAAAATTGGATTACAATCTACGAAGATATCGCGTAAAATACATACAAAAAAAACACTTACACTCAAATTGACAACCTCCTCCTTTTTGAAGTCGGTTAAAAATGCAGATATATTGTCACCCCTGAGGACTAAGATAGAATGCCTCGTTTCCAGTAAAAAGAGTTTCCGGTTCTCTACACTCACCATACGAAACACAGCAGCATTAAACTGCTATTTTACGCTGGTATTCTGTGAGAGCGTGGTCCTACCCTGGTCCAGCCGACCCATTCATGCTACAGTCATAATATAGCTGCAGCATGGCTGTACCACGTACGTTTCCTACATATGACTGACTGGCCTGTTGGTCTAGTGGTTAGTGACCCGACTGCTACGCCGGAGGTCGTGGGTTCGATTCCCACCCAGGACAAATGTTTGTGTGATGAGCACGATCATTTGTTCTGTGTCTGGGTGTAATTTATCTATAATATTTATGTATTTAGAAATATATAAGTATTTTTAAATAAAACTAATTTTACGGATTTTATCGCGTATATTAACTTATTTTTATATATTCCCGACGTTTCGGGTGCTTTCCAGCACCCGTGGTCACGGGGGACTGAGTTGTTTGACGTCCTGCTGTCATAGTTAGCCCGGCTACCTTCAGTTTTTAATATTAATTTTTGGTTCGATTTACGCAGAATGAGCTTACAGTATCTTGAAGTCTAGCAGTGGTATACTTGGGTTTGGATTTGATTTTATTAATTATGGGATCCCAAGCAGATGGCAGCACCCATCCATCTTCTCTATTGAAATTAGGATGTTTTTTTAATTTCAATAGCCTCGCGAATCATCCTTGGGAGGAATCGGTGTTCTTTTGCGAGGATTTGTGGTCTATCAAATCTAATGTAATGTCGGGGACGATCTTGAACATGTTCACAAACTGCAGACTTCTAATAAAATCAAATCCAAACCCAAGTATACCACTGCTAGACTTCAAGATACTGTAAGCTCATTCTGCGTAAATCGAACCAAAAATTAATATTAAAAAACTGAAGGTAGCCGGGCTAACTATGACAGCAGCACGTCAAACAACTCAGTCCCCCGTGCCACGGGTGCTGGAAAGCACCCGAAACGTCGGGAATATATAAAAATAAGTTAATATACGCGATAAAATCCGTAAAATTAGTTTTATTTAAAAATGTGTAGTGTTCGCGTAAATATAATAAATCAATATATAAGTATGTTTATCAGTTGTCTAGTACCCATAACACAAGCTCTGCTTAGCTTGGGACTAGATGGCGTTGTGTGATAGTTGTGGAATATTATTATAAAAAAAAAAATATGCATTTGTAACCTTTTTGTTTAAAAATTAGCTACAGGTATTCATGGGCTGCAGTAACCACTACCATCAAATGAACTATTGGTAGTTAGGCCATTTGTCATTATTATAATTGAAATAATGATGCCGATGCCGTTAGAAACGATACCTTATCAATTTAAATACGGTTATTAATTTAATTAGTTTTATTTACTAATGAGAATATAAGCTATCACTGTTAAAATATTATTTTAATTATCAGTACAAATTTAAATTATATAAATTATTTCAACAGAACAGTCAATCAGTATAAAAACAAAATGGCGCCTTACACCCTCTACGAAATGGCAGCCTTGTAAGGCAAGCACAGTGTTGGGCGACCCCCCCCCCCCCACTAGATGTAGCGTCTACCAGATGGTGCTAGGCTTGTGTTCAGCAATGGACTTATGATGGACTGTACTGATGATGATGAGAACCAGGCCTCATTACATAGGACTAGGTTATAACTCTATATTATTTTTTTAGAATAAGGATAACAAACCAGCACACAGTCCATTAGTAAGTGGATGTTGTGGCCCATAGACATTTACATCTATCTTCGGTTTAGATGGAAAGCTTCACCAGTAAAAAGGGTCTTCGGTTCTCTACACTCGCCATACGAAACACAGCAGCATTAAGCTGCTATTTTACGCTGGTATTCTTTGAGAGCGTGGTCCTTTTACAGTTGAGGCGACCCATTCGTGCTACAAACATGATATAGCCGCGGTGTGACTCTACCACTCATAAAAAACGATTATCTCCAGCAATGGACTTGATTATTAAACTCAGGGCTTATGAAATGTGTCGTTATAACTCCATAGATATAATTTACGAGATAATATACGATTATGAACAATTTGTTTTTTAAATGGCAAATGAATAAATCATTAACGGCCAGGCTAAGCAGAGAAGATTTTATGGATGTAACGTACAAACAACTAGTAATATATAATTATTATACAAGAATTGTTCACTTTTATACGTGGTAGAGCCATGCTGCAGCTATATTAGTAGTACAGTTGTAGCACGAATGGGTCGGCTCGACCGGGGTAGGACCACGCTCTCACAGAATACCAGCGTAAAACAGCAGCTTAACACTGTGTTTCGTATGGTGAGTGTAGAGAACCGGAGACCTTTTTTAAGGTAAAAGAGGCATTCCGTCTTAATCCTCACGGGTGACAAAGCATCTGCATTTTGATTCGCAAACAAGGATGGATGTATGTATGTCTATGGGCCATAGCATCCACTTACCATCAGGTGGACTGTGTGCTCGTTTGTCACCCTATCCTATAAAAAAAATGTTTGGGTATTCATTCTATTACAATAATACGAAACTAAACGGAAGATAAATTATAAATTGGATAATAAAATAATTTACTTAGCACTTCAACTCAGTTCATACTGGTCTGACTACAGAAATACTCATTTATTTCTAGATTCTTATGCACTCTCAGTCACCTAGCTCAGAAATAACAGACATTAAAATGTTTACAATATAAGATAATTCTGTATAGAAACTTTTGTGATCTCGCCAAAAATCTGTTCGTCTCAAAAATAATGCGGTTTGGAATCCCGAATGGAAGTTTTATTTATATAGTCTACGAATAATTGTTCTCGCTCTGGATGTTTGTCCATAAAGATTGGAGAAATTACTATTGTGGGATCACTTTTTTAATAAATGGTAATTTATAACCAACTCTCTTTTTTATAGAAGAGAGGGTAAACGAGCATGCGGCTGACCTAATGGTAAGCGACTACCGCCCATGAAAAACTGCAACAACAGGGGAATTGCAGGATCGTTGCCGGAGTTCAGTCACATACACACGAACAGAAGAATTATATACATAAAGACATAATAATAATAAAGAATTATATACATAATTTTAGAGCCGGGGCGGCATCAGAGGCAGCTGAACTGAGTAAGTGGGGGCAAATATGAGTCTCTGAGAGATGACTACATATTTGTGCCATTTACTGTATAGACTATCGGTCCGTGGGGTCCACGTGCGGTGAAGTTCCTAAAGGAAATCCATCCGCGGCTGGTCGTTGCTGCTGGTGATAATAGGGCTGGTTCTTTTCTCGCTCAAAGGCTAAGTATAGCCATTCAGTGAGGAAACGCAGCCAACGTTCTTGGCACGATACCGCGGAGAGTAGGACTGTAAGATAATTAAGTTACTAGTTTGTTTTTTTTTATTATCGATTTAACTACAGATTTAATTAAATTAATATGAACTCACAAAAAATACATAATGATCTATGACTCACAGTGACTATATTAGTAGAAAGAGATAGAGTTCTAGTAATAGACTACAGCAGATTAATTGCTCCATGTCGCCATAACCATCTTAGAAATGAGAGGAGGCCTGTGCGCAGCAGTGGGACGTATATAATTAGTTTTAACTTTAAGTGCACAGAAATACAGTCATTGACACATTTTGCCATCTTGTCGTTTTATTGAAGCTAGCGGCTTCAAAAATCCGGCAACAGCCTACGCCACTATCCGGCCCTGGCCTGAAGTACTAGATGGTACAATTCTTAGTATAAATCGTAAAAAAAAAATATCTTCGCAATCTAAACAACTAAAACTGTCCAGCGGAAAACAACGAATTCGTGCCAGATTTTAAGATATGATCAAAGGTAAGGCAGATTACAGTGTCGGAAAAACGGTAACAATTACAAAACATCCAGAAATAAACTGACGGACTCGAATCTAACACGATATCGTTCATGTTGTACTAAAATAGAATACATTCATTCATTAGTCTATCAAAGTTCCACTGCTGAGAATAGACCTCCACCAAGCATTCAACAGCGTAAATAGCAGATGAATGCTGTTGGGTGAGTGTAGAGAACCGGAAACCATTTTTAGACCCTGTCCGCGCGATTTTTTTCTTGCAATTCTGTACACACAGAATCTTATAGGAGTAGCCGCACTGGCGGTAAAAAATCGCGCGGGAAAATAATCTGTGATTTGATTGCAAATTGAACGCGAAGCGGTGCGATGTCCGCACTACGGAATAAAATTCGCGCGTTTCACGTCTCTCTCCAGCTAAAATTATTTTTGTCCATTTCGTATCTTGATAGGTAATCGCCCAATCAACAAGTCGTAGTAAATTATCGAATGATTTTATAGTCATTCTGTAATATCCGAAAAACTTTTTACTATATTTTCGCAGCCTTTGATGTTTTATGTAGAAAATACTTTCATAGGTCTCAAGGCCGTAAATTAGCGAATCCAATGTTCATGACATCTTTTGATACGTCTATCACGCCACCGCCGTAGTATCAGGTAAATTAAAAAAAAATCTCTTGTTCATTTTTAGACGTGCGTTTCAACGGGGAATTGGAACGGGAAGGTGTAATTCCTACCACGGAATATAATACAGTAGACCCCCTGTAATCCGACATGCCTACAATGGGGTACAGTCGAATCGCGTTACGAATCCATCACGGGGGAGGTGTTCTTCCCGAATACGTGGACAAACAGGTTGTAACCAGTTTGCGCCTCCAAGAATTTATGCTGGATGCGTCTGGTCTTAGTTTGAATGTGACTATGGTAGCGGCCTAGCGGGCGTTCATTTTTTACTGTTTAGGTATTCATTGTGCATCACATGATTTTTTTTAACTTTTATTATCTTATATTTGATATAATTTTTCGGTTTACAAGGTACTCTTTTTCAAAAAGTTCCGGATTATCAGGGGTCTGTAGCAGTACTCTATAGTCCGACAAATTTGGTAATCCGACACCGCCTTGCAAAACGATTGTCGGGTTACCGCGGGTCAACTGTACACCAGAATAAAAGTCGCGCGGTGAAATATCGCAGTGCGGACAAGGCCTTAGTCTTCAAAGATGACAACGCACATATATTTTGATTTTTAATAGAAGTTAGATGAAAAGTGTCAGCGTCCACTTATTAGTTAGAGGGTGTGGGTAAAATTATTTGTACAGTTATAAAATTATTATGGAAACAGTTTGGAAGCGATTACCTCATTCCCATGGGTCATTATAAACCATGAATCCATTTATATACTACATATATGCATATTATGTGTGTATTACGTAAATTATTTACTCGTATATAATCGATATTATGCGTGTATAATGTGAGAGAGCCATGCTGCAGCTACATTATAGTGTTAACACAAATGGGTGGGCTCGACCGGAATCAGAATACTAGCGTAAAATAGCAGCACAATACTGCTATGTTTCGTATAGTGAGTGAAGAGAACCGGAGACACTTTTTACTGGAAACGAGGCATTTCATCTTAGTCCTCAGGGATTCTTAGTCGAGGATAGTTAAAAATGTTTATGGCCCACATCATCCACTTACCATCGCCCGCCCTATAGCCCCGACCTCGCACCTTGCGATTTTTTTTTATTTCCGAAAATAAAAGAAAAACTTCGAGCAAAACATTTTATGGACGCCGAGGAAGTAATGGCTGCGTTTCAAAATGCCGTCGAAGAGACCTCTGAGGACGAGTGGGCAAAGTGCTATTCTCAGTGGTTCCATCGGATGCAGCGATGTATTGATGTAAATGGACACAATTTTGAGAAGATATTATAAAACTAATAACTTCCTAGTTTGTTCAGTTTTTAATTTTCTAAAAACTTTCAGTGTCACCTTCGTAATGCTGCAGTGCTTATTATGGTAAGTGTAGAGAACCGGAGACCCTTTTACTAGAAATGAGGCGTTCCATCTTAGTCCTCAGAGGTGACAACGCATCTGCATTTTGATTCCTAATCGAGGATAGATGTAGATGTCTATGGGCTGTAACATCCAGATGGACTCTGTATGCTCGTTTGTCACGCTTACGTAATAAATGAAAATCTAGAATTTAGAATATTAATCTAGATTCTAGATACAAAATATTACTTACTTCAACCCTCCAAACTTCTAAACCTTGTTTCTTCCCCGCATTGACGAAGGCTGGATGAGCTTCAGGCATTTTTTCTGAAACAAATAAAAAAATCAAATAAAAATTGTCTTCAAGGCAAAAGTGAAGGTTTTTAAACTCACCATCGGGTGCATTAGTAGTCAAATAGCAGTATATGATAGATTTTAAAAAAATGTTGTTACGAGATGTCCTGCAGATGACAAACATCGTAGTTGATGGTAGAATTTACAATGAATGAAATCCAATAAGGAAGTATAAATTAAATAAATAAATAAATAGTAGCCACACACAGAGAGAAACCGTGTAGTGGCGGTGTAAGAATATTCACTACCCCATATCATCCCGTGGGTGTCGTAAGAGGGGACAGAGGGAAACGAATCAGGAGATGGACAGCAGTGTCTTTCTAATAACGACTAAAAATAAAGAACTGCTGCAGACCCGCTTTTCAAGCTTGGTAACTATAGAAAATATCCCACCTATGAGGCAATCTATGGGGGAGACCTATGTTCAGCAGTGGACTATGCTGTAATGGATGTATGTATGGAAGATAATCTACCAGGAGCACATGACTCACTGAGAGTTGATATTATTAAATCAACAGTAAGATTACCACTATGGCAAGATCCTTCCTATGAGGCAATCTATGGGGGAGACCTATGTTCAGCAGTGGACTTTAATAGGCTGTAATGGATGTATGTATAGAAGATAATCTACCAGGAGCACATGACTCACTGAAAGTTGATATTATTAAATCAACAGTAACATTACCACTATGGCAAGATCCTTCCTATGAGGCAATCTATGGGGGAGACCTATGTTCAGCAGTGGACTTTAATAGGCTGTAATGGATGTATGTATAGAAGATAATCTACCAGGAGCACATGACTCACTGAGAGATGATATTATTAAATCAACAGTAACATTACCACTATGGCAAGATCCTTCCTATGAGGCAATCTATGGGGGAGGCCTATGTTCAGCAGTGGACTTTAATAGGCTGTAATGGATGTATGTATAGAAGATAATCTACCAGGAGCACATGACTCACTGAGAGATGAAATTATTAAATCAACAGTAACATTACCACTATGGCCAGATCTTTCCTATGAGACAATCTATGGGGGAGGCCTATGTTCAGCAGTGGACTTTAATAGACTGTAATGGATGTATGTATAGAAGATAATCTACCAGGAGCACATGACTCACTGAGAGATGATATTATTAAATCAACAGTAACATTACCACTATGGCAAGATCTTTCCTATGAGACAATCTATGGGGGAGGCCTATGTTCAGCAGTGGACTTTAATAGGCTGTAATGGATGTATGTATAGAAGATAATCTACCAGGAGCACATGACTCACTGAGAGATGAAATTATTAAATTAACAGTAACATTACAACTATGGCAAGATCCTTACTATGAGGCAATCTATGGGGGAGGCCTATGTTCAGCAGTGGACTTTAATAGGCTGTAATGGTAACACAGAGAAAGCAGTTAAAACACGTGGATGTATGTATATTGCGTGTCGTGTACGCCTGCACAGAAAACAAACCGTTTGTTGACATCAGTGCCGTCATGCCATTTGCCGTCACGGGATACGAATCGGTTTTACTGCCAAGGCGCGCCAATAAATGTTTCACATCAAAAGGTGAGTTAAGTCAATGCAGGAGACTATTTTCAGGATTATTACGTCATCAATACCCAGGTTCAGGATCACATTAGGAATGGAAGGAGGTTGGAGTGCATTAAAACTTTTGAGTAGAGGATAAAGATCATGGTGGATCCAATTGTTAGAAATCACAGAGCGAGAAATAAAATGTAAAACGCAAGATTCTTCTCTTGCGTTTTGCATTTTGCATCTGCATAACATTAGAAAATAATCTATCGGAAAGAAATTGTTAACTTAAAAATAATAGTGGTTCTAGACATTCCACATGAAGGGCGGCTATCGAAATATCGCTGAGAATAATGATATAATAATTCACCGACAGAATTTCGAGGAGATTTTCTTACACGAATGTCTTCACGACGGATGGACCCAAGCATTAAAGATATTTTATTGTTTTCAATTGTGATTACTGTGATGAAAAAGTTGTAACACGAGTGTGTCGGCTCGACCGGTGAAAGCCTACCCTCTTACACAATACCAGCGTCAAATGGCAACTTAATGCTGCTAAACGAGGCATTCCACCTTAGATCTCGGGTGTTTTTTTCACAGTCCAACTGATGGTAAGTGGTTGCTGTGACCCATAGACATCTACATCTATTCTCGATTACGAATCAGAATGCAGATACGTTGTCACCCGTAAGGACTAAGATGGAATGCCTCATTTCCAGTAAAAAGGGTCTCCGGTTTTCTACACTCACCGTACAAAACACAGCAGCGTCAAGTTGCTATTTTCGCTGGCATTCTGCGAGAACGTGGTCTCACCCCCGTCGAGCCGTTCGTGCTGCAACTATACTACTAATATAGCTGCAGCGTGGCCCTACCACGTTAAAACCGTTGGCAACAAGGCATCTTGATTTTTGATTCTTAACCGGGGATAGATGTAGATGTCTATGAGTGTGGCTCAAGCGTGGCAACTATGGCAAATATCCCCTATTACTGGGATAGTCTGTAACTTTAACGGTGGTTGAGACATGTTGCAGTGTATAAAGACTAGTAAAGGTTCAGCTCGATCGGGTAATGAACACTCATGGTCAGAATACCAGATTAGTTCTAAGGGATGAAAACGCTTTTGCATTTTGGGTCTTAATCAACGAGATATATATCTCTATAGATTCTCAGGGACTGCAAACATATTTTTTATTGCACAAAAAGAACCCCTTTTGTCGTATCTGTCTCAGTTTCAAGGCACTCCCCTTCTTGCCTCAGCCAGTATCGGTATCCTCGGAGTCGACATATCGAGTGACGTGCAGTTTCGTGGTCACTTGGAAGAGAAGGCCAAATTGGCCTCTAAAAAGCTTGGCGTGCTCAGCAGAGCGGGACAGTATTTCATGCCGGCACACCGCCTGCAACTTTACAAGGCGCAGGTTCGGCCTCACATGGAATACTGTTCCCATCTCTGGGCAGGGGCTCCCCAGTGCCAGCTCCTTCCACTTGACCGCATCCAGCGCAGAGCGGCTCGAATCGTCGACGACCGAGCCCTTTCCGATCGGCTCGATTCATTGGCACTGCGAAGAGATGTTGCATCTCTTTGCATTTTCTTTCGCATCTACCATGGGGAGTGCTCTGAGGAATTGTTCGGATTAATCCCAGCCGCCAAATTTCACGAACGCACATCGCGGCAGAACTCCCGATACCATCCACACCATCTGGATGATTGGCGGTCCACCACTGTGCGATTTAGAAGATGTTTTCTTCCTCGCACAACTTCCTTGTGGAATAGTTTACCACCAGGGATTTTTCCGGACCGATACGACTTAGGGACCTTCAAGAAAAGAGCCTACTCCTTTTTAAAAGGCCGGCAACGCATCTGCAATTCCCCTGGTGTTGCGGTTGTTCATGGGCGGCGGTAGTCACTTACCATCAGGTGAGCCGCATGCTCGTTTGCCCCCTCTCCTATAAAAAAAAAAAAAAAAAACAAGGGTGGCTAATGAGCATACAGTTCACATGGTCGTAATTGAATGCTGCGGCTTATAGACATCTTACATCTATCTTCGATTACGAATCAAAATGCAGATGCGTTGTCACCGTCAGGACTAAGATGGAATGCCTCGTTTCCAGTAAAAAGGGTCTCCGATTCTACACTTATTTAGTGGCGAAGCTTGCGAAGTCACTTGTTGATTTCACGATGTCTGTCCGTGTGTCCGTCTGTCCGTCTGTCCCACGATTATCTCGAGAACGGTTTCGAATTTTCAAATTCTGTTTTCAGCAATCGATTACTGATCACCCAGGCTTCTGAACCTCCTATTTTGAAACTGATTGCTGAACGGCAACCGTTAGAAACCGCTACAAAGCTGATTGCTTCGCCACTTTGCTATGCTGTTAGATTGCTAGGTTTATTAATTATTATACGAAACACAGCAGCATTAAAGCAGCAAATTGCTATTTACGCCCATACTCTGTAACATTATCTACTGCCCCATATTATTTTAAAATTCAATCAGCCTGTTCATAATGTAACGATCTAAATATTTAATGAACAGACACACTTCAGACAAAGATAAGTCAGCCTCATTGACTTTCAAGTGCCTAGAATGATTTATGTTCGCAATAATTTTTCTTGTAAGTACTGATTAGGTATCTATATAAATAAAATGATACGAGGTTTACAGTAGTGCGCGCATCACGGAAAAATTACTGAATAGATTTCAATTAGGTTTCCTGAGTTTTATGTCTTAGACACTTGGCCCTTATTAAAAAAAAATTGCGATATCTTCATTTAATATAAAGTTATTAAAGTTTTAAGAAACAACGTTTTTTATAAACACTACGTGTTCAGTGATGTGTGTTTTCTTGCCGCGGAGAAGATCGAAAACTTTGTTATATCATGCAACACGGGCGATGTCGCGGGTATCAGCTAGTTATAAATATATCCAGTTTGTAATGTTTTATTTAGAAACTAGCTGTTCCCCGCGACTTCGCTCGCGTTTTAGGGTTTTTATGTTTTTGTGCGGAACCCTAATTATTTATCTAAAATAAAAGTAGCCTATGTTACTCCTTATGAAATCAGCTATCTGTCAGTGAAAGTCCCGTCAAAATCGGTCCAGCCGTTTTGGAGAATACCCGGAACAAACAGACAGACAGACAAAAATTTTAAAAATTGTATTTTAGTTATAAGTACCGTCTTTACTATGATATGCATTTAGTAAAAAATTGTAATTTTGACATTACAAACAGACACTTCAATTTTATTTATTTGTGTAGATGTATAGATGGAAATGTTATGATGAACCACCTGATTAATAGGACATTATTCGTAACTAGCTGTCCCCCACGAAATACATATACTTATTACGATTGGATTTCATGGGTTTTGCAAAGAACCCTAATTATTTTTCTAAAATCAAAGTAGCTTAAGTTACTCCTTATAACATCAGCTATCTGCCA